CGAGACCACGGGGCCGACCGTGGCGCTAGGCGTTGGGAGTCTTGCCGGGACGCCACGGGGCGCGTCCAAGGGGTCATGGGTCGATGATGGAAAGCAGCCCATGACAGTACTCATGATGCTGATGATGAAATTGTTGAATTATCTGGGGATTCCATGATTGGCACTTCTACAAGTGATTCAATGCTGCCAAATTTGGAAGATGCCATTGTGCAGGGACTTGATGATGACTTGGAGATCATGGTTAAAAGATTGACAGGACCACTGTCGGCACTAGACATTGTCACTATATCAGGCATGGGTGGCATTGGCAAAACAACACTCGCTAGAAAAGCTTATGATCATCTCACAATCAGGTATCATTTTGACCTTCATATTTGGGTTACAATATCTCAAGAATTTCGATTTAGAAATGTCTTGTTACATGCTTTACATTGCATCTCAAAGCATACAAATTTTTTCAATGCAAATGATTATGATAAGGTGAAGGACAATGAGTTAGCCGACCTGGTGCAGAAAAAACTAAAGGGTCAGAGATACCTTGTTGTTGTTGATGATATTTGGAGTACGGGTGATTGGGATAGTATAAGAGGAATATTTCCTGAGTACAATAATCGGAGTCGAATCTTATTGACTACTAGGGAAACTGCGGTAGCTATGTATGTGGATTCTATTAGCCCTCATCACATGAACCTATTGAATTTAGAAAACAGCTGGAAGTTACTTCGTGATAATGTATTTGGACCAGAAAATGATCATCCTCATGAGTTGGAAAAATTTGGAAAGAAAATAGTAGAAAAATGCAAAGGACTACCATTAACGATTTTAGTTATCGCAGGGCATCTTTCTAAAATGGCCAGGACATTAGAAGCTTGGAAGGATGTTGTCCGAATCTTAGGTGAAATCGTTGCTAGTCATCCAGATAAATGCCTAGGAGTGCTTGGTTTGAGTTACCACCACTTGCCTAATCATCTCAAGCCTTGCTTTCTTTCTATGGGTTGTTTCCCAGAGGATTTTCAGGTTGAAACTAAGAGATTGATCCAACTATGGATCGCGGAAGGTTATATAAGGACGTCCCGAAGTAATAAAAGCTTGGAGGAAGTGGCAGTAGATTATTTGGAGGATCTTATTGGCAGGAACTTAATGATTAGAAAACGGAGATTCAATGGTGAGATAAAAGCATGTGCAATGCATGATCTGCTGCATGAATTTTGTTTGATAGAAGCTGAAATGACAAAGTTTATGCATATTGATAAAAACTACTCTTCTCTTCTAACACAAAAGCAAAATGTTCGTCGCTTCAGTTTTCAAAGCCAATATTATTCAGTTGATGATTGTTGTAAGCTATTACCCCCTGTTGCCACATCTATCTACTTATCTCGATTGGATCTACCTTACGCAACACGTGTTAAGCTTTTCGGGATATTGCCCATCTACCATCCTCATACTGTAGTACATGAAATTTTCTCCCATTTCAACCTTCTTAGGGTATTGTCCATCTTCCATGAATCTACAAATTTCACCTCCTTTCCACTCGTGATTACAAAGTTATTTCATTTGAGATATCTCCAAGTTGGATTTGACGATGATATTCCTGCATCAATCTCAAAGCTTCAAAATTTGCAAACTCTAATTCTTATGAATCAACGTCGTGATAAAACTTTACCAGGGACGATATGGATGATGAAGAACTTAAGGCATATACATCTGGAGGGAGCTACCAGTCTTAGAAGTGACATTCTAAATAAGCATCTTGTGACAGAGATGCCAAATCTACAGGAATTTTCTGTTCTCTGTTCCACCAGTTGTACAAATGAAGTGTTTTCAATCATTCCCAATCTAAAGAGCCTGATTGTCTGTGACCGTTTGGCCAATCGCCTCATTGATATGTCAAGCTTAAGAAAACTCGAAGCACTGAAGTTTTTCGTGGGAAATTCGCCGAGGTCCCTCGCGAGGTTTGTCTTCCCAACATCACTTAAGAGGTTGACTTTAACTAGACGGTTTTATTTTCCTTGGGAATACATATCAACTCTTGTCATGTTGCCAAATCTTGAAGAGCTCAAACTTAAAAATTTTGCAGTCTGGGATAAAGTATGGAGATTAAGTGATGAAGACAAGTTCCAAAGCCTAAAGTTGTTACTATTTAGCGAGATATATTTTCGACATTGGGAAGCAAGCAGTGATAGCTTCCCAAATCTAAAACGCCTTGTTCTGAAGAAATGCAAGTACGTGGAAGATATTCCAATAGATTTTGCGGAAATTTGTAGTTTGGAGTCAATTGAGTTACATAATTGCAGTACTCTTGCTGAGGATTCTGCAAGAAAAATTGAACAAGAACAAGAGGACATGGGAAATAATTCCCTTAAGGTCTACATCCTTTAGCACTCACGGTATGTTTTACTCTAAGATATTCTTCTTCTATTATTCACATTATTAATTACTCCATCTTTTGTTAAATTTTACCTTCTTGAAATTAAGTTGATGACTTCTAATTTTTTTTTTGTATATCTTTCATATATATGCAGGGAAGTGAAGCTTATTTTGCGGGGACCATCTGGCACTACCTTCCTAATGCAGAACCTTTTAGTTTATATTTTGAAAAGTAAAATGTTTCTTTTATGTTCTTATCAGATGTTATATTTATGTTTTAGGAATAAGAATGCTAAATGCATGTCTCTCCCATTTGTGGTTTTTTTTTTTATTTAGTATTTTGTAAACCATAACTATTGATGTACTGTAGTATCTATATGTCAGTAACTCATACGAGATACTTTCTCTATTCAGTTTTACTTGTCCATTATACTTCAAATATATTTTCATTTTTACTTGTCCACTATACTAAATTAAGAAAAGACAATCTTTTTTTCTGTTTTATCCTTATCATTAACTACTCATTCCCCAAATTATTTCTCAAGACTTTTGAAAATGCTATCATTATTATGAGTAAAATGGTAAAATATATATTTTATTTATTATTTCTTAAGGGGCATGAAAAATTCAAAATTGACAACTAAAAATGAACGGAGGGAGTAGTTCGAAATGAATAAGGTTTATGTAATGCATTGTGCACAAGAATAGGAGGTTTCACATTTGAGTCTATTTTCCTTTGTATACTGTGCCATTATTTTTTATATCACACTTTAAATGCCATGCCCCAAAAAGATTAGCACAACCGGCACCTGGATCCTTCAACTTATACTTAGCGAACCACTTAAACCTATCTACCCATTATTGGATCATTTGGTTAAAAGACATTATTTTAACTCCAACCTTAACTAGACCTTTGGCCAAAATACATAAGTGCGGAATGAATATGAGAAATAAAAGTATTAATCTCACCTACATGATTAGACCTTCCCAAAGTGTCACTGGAACCTCTTTGGATATAAACGAATATAATAAATCTTTAGACATTGATCCACCAATAAAAGAATTATAGTTCACCAAGTATAGGAGAGAATGGAGTAGACACCTAGCTCGTGCTATCAACTCCAGTGCCACAATATGTGAAATATCAAGTTGCCCAACATAAGAGGTTGAGCGCAATTTCTATGAATTGTACTCTCTAAGTATTATTGACTATTTTCCGATAAGGTTGGAGCGTTTCTTTAAGAAAACGTAAAATACATGAAGTACAGTAAGTATGAAATTTTATAAAATCAATAATGAAAGGCAATAACATTTTCATGTATTGTTTAAATTATTTTTATAAACTATACATGTTACGAGTCCCTTAATAGAAGAAGGGCATATTAGTCATTTCAGAAGGAAAGTTAGTTAGGCGGTTACACAATGTTGGTTGTGGGGAGCTGACAGTCAGTTAGAAGAGAATCTTGACTATATAATATAAGGGAAGAAGCTCAGTTGTAATAGCTATTCAGATTTACTTCAATAACATTTCTCTCTCTTTAATCTCTCTGCATTCTTAATTCTCTTCCAAGAATAGCTTAGTTGAATATTGTTCAAGAGCTATTCTCTCAATTGGCTCTTTAGGTTTATAGTTTTGTACTTAATTCGATTAGGTAAGTAACATTAGTATTAGAGCGACGGTCTTGGGCGAAACTATGCCGGAGACGACAACCAGAAACGGCGAAGTCCGACGGGAATTGGATGAGCTCCGCAAGCAAATTCGTTCCATGGCGGAGAAATATGATGAGCAGGTTCGAACAATGGGGGAAAGGCAGGAGGATGCGTTGGGTGAAATCCGTCAATTGATTGCGGCGATGACAACCAACCCTAGGGTGGTCGCCGGGGCTCCGGTAGAAAATGGGGGAAATCATGGTCATGGTAACAATAATCCGTTTGGAATGAGGTATTCTAGGGTGGAATTTCTTGTGTTTGGGGGTGATGATTTGGATGGACGGATTTACAGGTGTGAACAATTCTTTTAGGCTGACGGAACAATGGAGGAATCTAAGGTACGCTTAGCCGTCATTAATTTATAAGGTCGGGCGTTACAGTGGCACAAGGCTTTGATGCAAGCCAAGATGGAATGACTATGTGTGATCTCTACAACTGAGGTTTGGTGACAATTTGTATTATGATCCAATGGCGGAGCTAGTGGCATTGAAACAGATAGGGACAGTGCAGGAATTCTTGGACAAGTTCGATGGGATGATGAATCAAGTGGAATTGACTGAGGAGTACTCGATTAGTTGCTTCTTGAATGGGTTGAGGGCCATACATTGAAGTGCAAGTACACATGCTAGCACCAAGAACTCTTATGAGGGCTTACAACTTGGCCAGATTAGTAGAACAATCATTGAAGTTTCAAAGGGAACAGAACCGAGTAGCCATTAGGAGTTCCAGACCATTGCTTCCTAGCCCCAATTCTTCATGGAAATCGAGGAACTATTCTAACACTAGAGTAATGACAGCCATAAATGAGGAGGGAGAAGCAGGGTTCCTAATCAATCTGTAGTCAAATACTCTAGGAAACTGTAAACTACTGAAATGGATAAGAAGAGAGCACAAGGCTTATGTTATTGGAGTGATGAGAAGTATTCTCCTAATCATGTCTGCAAGAAGAGAAAGAAATTGTACCTCTTAGAAGTGGAGGAGGAAGTGGAAGAGTGGCAACTGGAGGATAATATGAAGGAAGAGAATTTTGAAGAATCTGCCTTACAACCCCAAATGCATGTCCATGCTTTGGATGGTATAGTAGATTATAGAACTATGAGGGTGATAGGAGGGGTTAAAGGTAAGATGGTGCATGTTTTGGTTGATTCGGGGTCAACACGCAACTTCATGGACTTAGCCATAGCCAAGAAGTTGAGATGTAAGTTGGAAACAATCCTCGCCTTTTCAGTGTTTGTTGCAAATGGTAGCAAAGTGCATAGTTCTTACATGAGCAGGGGAGTTTCATGGAAAATGCAAGGTGTAGAGTTCAAGGCAGATATGTTAGTGATGCCTTTGGGAGGGGCTGATGTAGTTTTAGGGATTCAATGGCTTATTGCATTAGGAGACATAAGATGGAATTTCAAACTTCTAAAATGGAATTCCATATAGGAGGCAGGAAGGTATCATTAAGGGGCAGTCAACCTATGGGGGTCAAGAATGATTGATAACAGCAAAATGGAAAGGTTATTGCACAAATCAGCAGGATTAAGTATGATGATTGTAGCACATGTGCAATTAGTTGACACATAAAAGGCATGCCTCAACTTACATCAAGTAGAGATACATGGTGATTTGCAGGGCCTGGTGGACCAATACTCGACAGTGTCTGCAACTCCTACTAAGCTACCACCCCATAGAAGCCATGATCACAAGATAACTTTGAAGGAAGGAGTACCTCCAGTAAATGTCAGACCTTATCTATACCCAACCTTGCAGAAGAACGAAATTGAACGTATGATACAAGAGATGGTGGATGTAGAAGTCATCAGACCTAGTGTAAGTCATTACTCTTCCCTATAGTCATGGTTAAGAAGAAGGATGGAACATGGAGGCTATGCATTGATTATAGACAACTAAATAACCACACTGTCAATGATAAGTTTCCTATTCCTATAATTGAAGAATTACTAGATGAATTAGGAGGGGCTGAGTATTTTTCTAAGTTGGACATGAAGTCAGGATATCATCAAATCAGAATGCATGAGAAGGACATTGAAGAAAACAGCTTTTAGGTTGCATCATGGGTACTATGAGTTTGTCGTGATGCCATTTGGTCTAACAAATGCCCCATATTCCTTTCAAAGTTAAATGAATAAGGTTTTTCAGCCCCACCTTACGAGGTTCATCCTAGTCTTTTTTGATGATATATTAGTACACAGTTCTTCATAGAAGAAACACATGATACACCTGCAGAAAACCTTTGAGATTTTAAAGAAAAATTGCTTATTTGTTAGGATGAGAAAATGCCAATTTCTAGAACCCTCTAAGATCAAAGTCATGGTGGACTGGCCCATTCCTAGAACTGTCAAAGGAGTGAGGTGAGGAGATTTCTAGGATTAACGGGGTACTACAGACGATTTATCAAAGGATATGGAGTGATATCCAAACCTTTAACTGAACTCCTCAAAAAGGATAAGTTCACCTGGAATGAAATGGCTTCCACAGCTTTCCAGGAACTGAAGGTAGCAATGATAACAACACTTGTGCTGGTCCTTCCCAATTTCAATCTGGAATTTATTATAGAAACTGATGCATGTGGTATTGGCATTGGGCCAGTGCTAATGGAAGAGGGACATCCTTTAGCTTTTATGAGTAAAGCATTTAGTAATAGGCATCAGCAACTTTCAGTTTATGAAAGAGAAATGATGGCCATAGTAGCAGCTATACAAAAATGGAGAAATTATCTCAGTGGATGAAATTTCACTATCAAAACTGATCACCAAAGTTTAAAATACCTTATGGAGCAGAGGATATCAACTCCCTAGTCAACAAAAGTGGTTAGCTAATCTTATGGGGTATGATTATACTATCACCTACAAGAAGGGTAGAGACAGTGTGATTGCAGATGCATTGTCTCGACTGCCTAAAGAGGAGGTTCAGCTGCACACATTTTCATTTGTGTCTTCTGACTTCTTAGAGAAGATCAAAGCTTCTTATGAGAAAGATGTTGACCTACAGCAAATTATCCAACAATTGTAGCAGGATCCTCCGTCTAAACCATTGTATATGTTGAAGGATGGTATTCTCTATATAGGGGGCAAGATAGTAGTGGGTGCATATTAGGAAGTAAGGCAGGAAATACTAAAAATTTTGCATAATGGAGCAGTAGGAGGTCACTCAGGAATAGCTGCTACTCTGAGAAGGGTCACTCAGTTTTATCATTGGAAGAAACTAAGGGTGGATGTCTATGAACACATCAGAGGGTGTGAAGTTTGTCAAAGATTTAAGGGTGAAAAGGTGAAATCACCAGGGCTACTACAACCCTTGCCGATCCCAAATAAGGTGTGGCAGGACATTAGCCTTGATTTTATTGAGGGCTTACCAAAATCCAATCAATATTCAGTGATCATGGTAGTGGTTGATAGGTTGAGCAAGTATGCTCATTTCATTGCCATGAAACACCCCTACAATGCTGCCTCGGTAGCTCAGGTTATTTTGGATAATGTTTACAAGCTCCATAGACTGCCTTAAACAATAGTCAGTGATAGGGATGTGGTCTTCCTCAGTAAATTCTGGCAGTCTTTTTTGATGTCCAAGGAGTGCAACTGCATCATTCTACAACTTACCATCCTCAATCGGATGGCCAAATTGAGGCAGTGAATAAATGTTTGGAGGGGTATCTCAAGTGCATGTGTAATGATCGACCCAAAGATTGGGCACGCTG